GAGAGAGAGAGAGAGAGAGAGAGAGAGAGAGAGAGAGAGAGAGAGAGAGAGAGAGAAAAGAAACAAAGGAAGGAAGAAAGAAGACACCAGGGCCCAGCAGCCTGTGAGTTTTACCCAAAAAAACGTAGAAGTAAAACAATTCAAAATATTCACCTGGCATTCCCTATTTCTGCACGTCATGCTGTGATGGTTTTCTACGTGAGAACTCATTGGTGGAGGTAAGAGAGATGCCTGTGACAATGTACCAATCAGAATCCCCGAATGAGGCTGGCAATACATGATTGGTTGGTTGAATGATATCAACAGGCTGGTATCTAAAGAACAAGAGAGAATACCATGAGTTATCACAGTAGAAAAAAAAAATTGGGGGGTGTTAGCAACATTCAGTCCCTTCCCACCGCCCCTGCCCAGCCCCAGAGAGCCTGAGGGACATGACTGATCTTGCTTTCAGGAGAATAAATTTGGGGCGAGATAAGGGCAACCCATCTCCATCTCTTCTTCCACCCCACCAACATTTCTGGAGGAACTTCATCCATGCAATGAATAAGAGGCTGGACCTTAAAGATCTACATGGTTCCTTGTGACTTTGACTTTAGGTTCTGGGACAGATAAAGTTGCATTGGTGAAGCACATCAACAATATGTTTTGTGCCTTAACGGGGGCCAGGGAAAAATGACTAAGTGGTGGATTCTCATATCTTTTTCTAGAAGGGGACTTTCAAAACCCAAACTCAAAACCACTCCCACAAGACCCTTGCATTCCAATCTTTTCAAACCCACCCTTTAAAAACCCTCCCAGATTGTGCAAACCCAACATTACAAGCCCGATTGAGGCAGACGTCTGAGAATTATCTCCCCAAGTTATGGATAAAAGCGATTTAGATCCCTCGCAACTTTTTGAACCTGAAGACCGGATTGCTTACGTTGTTGGAAATACCCGGTTGAAATATTAATGTGATATGACTTGTGCAGCAACAAAGTTGTTCCTAATGCTCCTTCTGGGCCATAAGCGGTCTCATGGCTTGGATTTTGTTTGCTAAAGTGATCGAACAATTGGGTTTGAAGCATCCGATCGTACCAGCGTACAAATGGCAGAGACCGGAATGGTGCATCGGAGTCAAATTAATGCTTTAGACTGGATCAGAACCTTCTTAGGACCTTCCTTACTACAGCAATGTTGAGAGCTTTGAGGAGGCGAACAGAAAATGGGCTTATTATTAAAGTCGTACAATTTGCCAAGTACCTGAACTGATTGATAGCAGCTCTCCCGGGTTCCAGGCTGAGGACTTGGTCATCAGCTGCTACCTGACCCATAATTCAGTGCTAGGATCCCCAAGCTCAACCAAATGAAGGCGGCTTCAAATCCAACTTTACTCAAGGTAGGAAGCCTCTACCTCAAAAAATTTCCATTAAAGAAGCCATCATCTCTCTAAATTGGTTCTATCGTTGAGGTTTCTTCCATGGAAGTCAGGTGGAACCCTCTAACCCAGGGGTAGGCAACCTCGGCTCTTTTATGACTCATGGACTTCAACTCCCAGAATTCCTGAGTCAGCGTAGCTGGCTCAGGAATTTTGGGAATTGAAGTCCATGAGTCATAAAAGAGCCGAGGTTGCCTACCCCTGCTCTAACCGTTCCTCGTTGCCCAACTCTTGAGTTGTCCCACTGAATAATTCTTCCCATTCTGAGAAGAAGCTCTGGATGAACAAATTCAGTCCAACCTCTTTCTGACTTAAGTCCCTGGGACTGAAGGTAAACTTATATTTTCCAGAAGACAAGTCCTACGGAGATGGGAAATTCAGCCTACAACGCTCACTTTCTTCTCTTCTTTCCTATCTGGATTAAAAAAAATCGTCCGAGGAGGAAACGAGAGAATCAAAAAGCATCACTGCTATTAGCAGTTATAAATCTCTTCCAACCTACTCTTTCTCGTTTCTTAACTAGCTTTGACATAGGAAATCAGAGAAGGTTTTGGCATACGTGTGCATCTACTTTAATCTCCATGCTATGTAGGTTTTTTCTTTCTTTCTTGGCTCTACAATCTCTTTCTCTTTTCTTGTTGGTGTTTTAGGTATTTTTGTTTCGTTTTGGATTTCGCCATTAATCCGAATGGTTGAATTATAGAGTCAAAGGCCAGATGAAAAGGGGGCTCTTAACAGGGAGAAATCCACCAGCGATTCCAGTTGCTGCAGGAACAGACGTAAGACAATGGAAAACTATAAAGGGAATATGCAGAGAAAGTCTCAAAATGTTGTGAATGAAAAATAAATAAAAGCTTTGCTTCCTCCAGGAATCCAGATGTCCAGCTTTACAAGGGGAGCATGTGCCCCAAAACTGGAACACGGGGAAATAATATTATTGCATATGTGAATGTTTATTGTCTATGTTTATTCTTCTTCTAGAAGAACGATTGCTTTCCACCAAGGCAATTTTTTTTTTCATATTTCCTAGTTTAGCCGTGCTTCGTATGTAGACTCAATGCTGAATTTTCTCCTGTCCTGCTAAGGACAAAAATGTCATTTGCATACGTTGATTAATTCCCAACTGTGAATGTTATTGAGGAATTTGTTTTGCATCCATACATGAATAACGATGAGCGCCGGGTCTCTAGATTCCCACAGTGATGGCACATAAAATCAGGGCTTGCTGGAAGAATTTTGCAACTGGGAAGGAATGATCCAAAAGGGGATGTGCGGTTAGGCTTTTAAAAAAAAACAATGTAATGGTCCATCCAGTACGAAGGATGAAACTTGCATGTTAGGTACAATCGGGGAATTCTATGAAAAATGGCCATCTCTGACTCAAAAGTTCTCCAAACCAGTTCTCCCCACATGTGCTTCAACTTCATAGCTCAAGTCCCAATTCCCATCTTGGCTAGGAAGTTCCACACATCTGGAGGATATCAGATTTGATTTACTCCTATTTTATAATTCCACAGGACTAAGCATTTCTCTGCGCCAGTAGTACACTGCTATTTATCTGAGGCAGAGAGAGATTCACACAAAAAAGGATGGACAGGGTAGAACATTCAACTCAAGAGATTATGTGTTTGAGCCACTGTGGGGTTACTTATATTCAAAGAAAGTTGAGATTAAAACTCAAAATATGCTCTCGTTTCTTTTCTCATTTTTCCTTTCTGGTTTTGTCTCTCTCTTTTTTTTTACTGTAGGAGAAGGAGTGGCAGAATCTGAGGGTGGAGTGATAATGGGGACTAGTCTAGAATCCAAACATAGTCACAAGCAATCTACAACCTTTCTTGAATTCCACTGACCCCTATTTAACACCTAGCAGAAGCTGAGATCACTGTTCTCAATTCCAAGCATGAGTTGAGAATATTCCTGTGCATAGTCTTTTAGCAATAATCAGTTTAATTGGACCTTCACATATGGAGCTGACCTTTTGCGCCCAAAGGTTATCTACATATACAATAGTGGGCCAAAATTGTGGAAATCTTTTGGGAAAAGTGTATTTTTGAGATTTGATGGCTAATAACGCCACTTTTTTGGGGGGGGAGTAGTACCATAAAATTATATTTCAATGGAAAGATAATTTAATCAAGAATGTGATGCAACATAGTTTGTTCAATTATCCGTACTCTATTCTATGAAAAGTTATAGCCAAATAACCAGAAAAAGGAAGCACAACTTGCTCAGGTGGATCTCAGGTAGCTTTCCTTCATCTGACTGTAGCCAATGAGAATGAAGGTTTAGAGAGCCAATCAGGCGTCATCTTGTTTTGGCAATGAGCCAATCAGATCACAGTGGGATTCAGTTATTGATGTCATGTATTGAAGCTGAGCGGAGGACATTTGTCAGTGTATTATGTGATCGCTATCAAGTTGGTTGGGGTTTTTTGTGTTCTTTCATTGAGTGAGCTTGTCAAACGTAATAAAATTAAAGTCATGGTGCAAAGAGTTGACTCGTCGCCCAGAAAGCGATGTAAAATAGTATTATTAAGTGAACAAGGCTACAGTGATAAAGAAATTAGAAGAAAAAATGGGTGGAAACTGAACCAAAGGTGGCATTTCTACTGTACGCTTTTCCCAAAAGGTTTTCCACAATGTTGGCCACTCCTGTACTTGGACCGAGGACTTAATCGTGCACCTCTTCCAAAGCAAGGTAGCGGTGGTGAACCTTATCTTAGTACAGAATCCAGAGAGCAGGTGGGAACCTACCTGCAGGGTGACCTGGGATCACAAGGCTGTTGGTGGGCAAGGCTGGAGGTGGGGGCGGCAGCGTGGGAGGGGGGGCGAACATGGCCGGATGGTGCTGATGTTGGGATTGTGATCGGAGAGGGAAGTGTGAAGCGGCAAGGTTGGAGATGGAAAGAGGCACCACGGGGCCGGAGGAGTGGTGGGGCGGGATCTGCGGGGAGAGAGACAGGTGCTTGGGGAGGCTAATGCTTGTGGCACTGCTGGCGCTGCTGCTTCTGCTGTGAAAGGAAACAAAAGAAATGGGGTGGGGGGGAGAGAGGAGGAGGAGGAGGAGGAGATGGAGAACATGGTTAGAGAAGGACCAGATAGTCTACAAAATAACACCGTCATTCTCGAAAGCGTCCCAGCTCCCTATCCCCAAGAAAACAAAGGTTTTTGCAGTGTGTACACCAGCCTTCTTCTCTTACTTGAGGTTCTTCAACGCCCAGAAAAATTAGAATTTCTGGACACTTGTTCCCGGAGAAAAGCTCCTCCTGCCAACTGAATTAAGCCCAGCATTAGCTGGATGGCCTTAAATCTCCTCTTCCTTGAATTTTCTCTTCCAGTTTGATGCATCTGAGATCCACTTACTATTCCCAACTTGATGCCCTTCGTGATGTTTTACCCTCTACTCTGGTTAACTATGATGTTCTGAGATCTTCCCTCGAGAACGGAATGAGAAATATCCCGCAGAACTTTTTGTCTGAAAATCAGCCATTGCCTCCTCTACCTTAATCATTTCCCCCAACTTAGCAGATCCACCAGGAGCTGGGAGAACCTGGAGGAACTCCCATTAAGGCTATCAAAACTCATGCGATTTTCACGTCCAGGGCATGGAGATGAAAAAAGGGTTGGCAAGCAACGAAAATGTTCACTGCCATGTTCTTGCTCTCACAAAGTTTGAGGAATTTGGGAAAGGAATCCAGACGATTGTGGTGGAGCCACTGGCTGGATGCCCTGACTAGGGGAGTTAAAAGACATTCCAGCTTAAGAGTTGATCCGGGGAAGGAAATGTTTGAAGTCAAATCCTTAATATGTGCCTTTTTCCAAGGGAAGGCAGACAGACTGGTGAGATTCTTGTAAACTGGGGGATCAACAATAAAGAAAACCTATCTGATCCATTCTCAGAGCTGTTCTGGTTGCTTGCACCTAACAATGATTGTCCAAACCAGGGGTAGGCAACCTTGACTCTTTTATGACTCGTTGACTTCAACTCCCAGAATTCCTGAGCCAGCATAGCATAGCTGGCTCAGGAATTCTGGGAGTTGAAGTCCACGAGTCATAAAAGAGCCAAGGTTGCCTACCCCTGGTCCAAACCCTCGAGTTGGGTACTAGATTGAAAACACACACACACACACACACATACACATACAGTACATGCACACACAGAGCCTTCCAGTCAACCTTGGCTGACCCTACCTGATATTATTGAGTCCGTTGTGGGCCACTTGGTGATGAACCTGGTAACCGAGAGGAGGGGGGATATGACTCGGCAACTGTGTCCGAAGCTCAGGCAACAACTGAGGTTGTGACTGTGGCCGAGGCTGAGGTTGCGACTGTGGCCGAGGCTGTGGCTGAGGGGTGAGCCTCGGAGGTGCTGGTGCAGGGATCAACGGCTCCTTTTTCAACAGTGGGCTAGGCCGAGTGCTTGAGGTGGGTACAGAAGAGCTGGACGTCACAACTGTTGTGGCAGGTGGTGGGCTGGAGAGGGGTAGAACAAAGGGCACGTCTGTGTTCAGTTCCTGGCTGCGTTCTAGCCCAGACACTTTAGGGATGTTTCCTGCTTTTGTTTCGGCCTTGTCATTCGAGGTGGGACCTACAATAACAAAGCAGGGGAGGGGATGAAAACAAAATTTACATGCAAGATTTTTCTCAGCTCAAGGAAGGGAAGTTGAGGATCCTCCCCCCCCCCCCGGCTGGGAATGAAGTCCAACACATATGGAGAACATCACATCGTTCAAACAAAGTTATTCTTCTTCTGTTGTTTTTTTTTGTTCCATTACAACATCCTTTGCCGTACCCCCAACTTAAGATGGATCCCAGCAGTCCTCAATTCCTCGGAGTGCTTCAAAAGCAAAACTAAAACCAGAGTGGATGCTCATTGAAGATTTATTTGCAGGAAGAAGAGAAAAAAAATTAAGGAAGTTCTCATCGTCTCCAAACTAGGAAGGCCCACTTTCTACACAACGGCTCACGTCTTCCACAGGCTAGGGTAAACAAAGCTAGCGCCAAAGAAGAGGGGGTCAACCTGTTTTCCAAAGCACCAGAGGGCAAGACAAGAAACAATGGATGGAAACTGACCAAAGAGAGAAGCAACCTGGAATTATGGAGAAACTTCCTAACAGTGAGGACAATTAACCAGTGGAACAGTTTTGCCTTCAGAAGTTGTGGGTGCTCCAACACTGGAGGCTTTTAAGAAAAGACGGGACAGTCACTTGGCTGAAATGGTATATAGCAGGGGTGTCAAACTCAATTTCATTGAGGGCCACATCAGCATTGCGACTGCCCTCGGAGGGCTGGGTGTGTGTGGCCAGGGACCCACATCGGATGACCCACCCGTACCTGTCTCACCTACACCGGATGACCCACCCGCATCGGTCGAGATGTAGCAAGTGCAGTTCCCACGGACACCCCCGGACCCGTCCTCACCCTGTCTAGACTCCCAGAGACCGTCTTCCTCCACCCTGGTCCTGTTCACGGTTCCGTACCAGGTGACCTCCTCGGAGTGACAAGGACTCAGGCCATGCGTGGGGGGCTGGATGGTGGCGCGGGGTGCCCGGAGCCCTGGGCAGCAGAGGTCAAACGCCCAGCCTGGCCCTCGAGCACCTGTGGCACCAAGCCGTTTCCAGACAGCCTTGTGGACTAAGACTGAATACGTTTCAGCATAGATGGCCACCACAAAATTGTACACTGGCTCCCGGCCGGCCTGGGCCAGGGCCAAGGCAGTGGGGGCCGTTCCCTCACTGTTTCCAGGATGGCTTCGCGGGCCACATGAAACCACTTCGCGGGCCGCCTCCGGCCCCCCGGGCCTTGTGTTTGACATGTCTGGTATATAGGGTCTCCTGCTTGTGCACACAAAGTTGGACTAGAAGACCTCCAAGGTCCCTTCCAACTCTGTCATTCTATTATAAACCTTCTCCTTTGCTGTACGCGCAAGAAGCTTAGCACCCACCACTTGTACTATAGGTACAGAACAGGGGAAACCTCTAGAAACCTTGTTTACATTTGGCAAGCCAAGTTACATTTTACTTTTTTGGACAGGTCAGCGTGAACCTCTTTGCGAAATACTCTGTTGGGCCAACTTGCTGTTAACTACATAAAGATAAATCACCCAACAGATGGTCTTTTCTTTTTCCATCCCTATAGTTTGGAGTAGCCCCAAAGATGACTGGCTCTATTAAACCAGCCTCCAAGGAGGCTTTCCAAAACAAAAACAAAAAAGAGAGATTACGTGTCCAGAGTTTCTAGTTCCACCCTGGCATCTGATGGTCCCAATTCTGCATTCCTGATTTCTAGCCCGCTTCTAAACCAGCTGGCACTTCTACCGAAACCCCGCAAAGGCAGCAGTGCAGTTTGTTTTTCCCCCAAGTTCTAGAGTAGTTAATTTCCGCCACAATAATACACTTGAGCTAATTTGCCAAAGGCTCAGCAGTCAACTCCAATATTTCAACCTTAATTAAAGCTGGATTCGCATCAGCTTCAGCTCTTTTCCGTGGCAAGCATTCTTGACAGTTATCAGGAATTGGGTCTTGGCACAAACTTCATCAGGGATTAGAGCATGCCGACTTTCCCCTTTCTTCCTAACTCTAGTAGACCACTTTGCTGATTATCTAACCACACTTCCCAGAAGATGTTTGAATCAAGAAACGTGTCACCGAGATCACTTTTTTTTTCCTGGTAGGACAGATGTCAACGAGAGGTAAAACCAGTGGTGGGATTAAGCCAGTTCGCACCACTTCGGCAGAACCGGTAGCTAATTTTTTGTTGCCCAGGCCCAGAATGGACTTCCAGAAGCGGCATCCACACAGAGAACCGGTTGTTCACATATTTGAATCCCACCACTGGAAGAAGGCATAAGAGAGATAGCAAAAGGAGGGAGGGAGGAAAGGAAGGAAGGAAGGAAGGAAGGAAGGAAGGAAGGAAGGAAGGAAGGAAGGAAGGAAGGAAGGAAAAGAGGGATAGAGGCAGTGTTGGGATTCAGCCAGTTCGTACCAGTTTGGCAGAACCGGTAGCTAATTTTTTGTTGCCCAGGCCCAGAATGGACTTCCGGAAGTGGCATCCACACAGAGAACCGGTTGTTCACATATTTGAATCCCACCACTGGAAGAAGGTATAAGAGATATAGCAAAAGAAGGAAGGGAGGAAGGGAAGGAAGGAAGGAAGGAAGGAAGGAAGGAAGGAAGGAAGGAAGGAAGGAAGGAAGGAAAAGAGGGACGGAGCACCAAATGTTCCTTAACAAAAAGGCACCATGTTATTTATTTATTAATTTATTAATTTGATTTATATACCGCCCTTCTCCCGAAGGACTCAGGGCGGTGCACAGCATATTAAAAACAAGTAACAATAAAATACCAAAATAAAATAAATAAATACCAAAATAAAAACCCCTCTAAAACCAAATTAAAAGCCAAATATTAGTAGCTGTGTCGTAATTAAAATTATATTAAAATCATCCCT